GTGTACTGGAAGAATATGGGCTCTTTAAGAAGCAAATTTGTATGACTAAGGGTACGGGGTGGCACAACTGAGTCAATCGTGATATGAGTATCTGTGCCCACCTCATTAGCAGTGCATGGATTCCATTGTATTGCAAATGAGGTTACTACTAAGGTTCAATATGACTTTTTATGCATATTTACATTGGTCTAGCTTGGCCAAATGCATGTCATATCTATGCGGCCCACGTACACGGATCCTGTACAGCACAGGGCTACGCAACTGATACAGCCGGAGCTACTACAGTGCTTTAAAGCAATACTCCAGGTCCTGTATGGCGCTGTGCTGAGTGGTTTCCCCTCGGCTCTGAAAACACAGTGGGTCACTCGCTCGGCACAGTGGCAATTCAGACAACACCTAGTATTTTTATGAATGAATACAAGGCCTTATCTGAATGGTGCTCTGTCAAGCAAGGGGGTAGCTGGTCAGCACAGTGCCATACAGGACCCGAGAGATCACTGTTGGTACTGTAGTAGCTCCGGCTTCTACAGTGCTTTACAGGATCCCCAGCGGACTGTCAGGTATGACATATGCATACGTACACTGGGCCAAGCTCAACCAAGGTATATATGCAGGACATGGTAAACCTGGAGTTCAACTTTCAAGCTCTCAGTCGCAAAGAGATATAATCGCTTGTGTAGTCCTATCCTTATGCATCTTCATACGAAACATTTCTATCCATAATAGGGACTGGCCCTTGTTTGCAGTGTACTGCCAACCGTAGATGTGCCTGAACTAATCCTGCATAAAGCTGGCCATTCTGCTCAATTCCGGTGGCTCATAGCCAACTCTGGACACTTGCAAACCTGCTGCGCTCATAGACTGCATGAAGAACTATAGAAAACATTTACATAATAAAGTACAAACATCTTTCAAGAGCTGTTTGGATTTCTCTACTTGAGCTCCATCCTATGCATCAATCTAAGGACTTTAAGAATGCTGGAATTTTACAAAGTTCCGTCATTCCCTTTTCTATAGGAAAAAAAGAGGACATTCACTGACCATGCCGTACATGAAAAGGTTATCAGCGTGGGTGTGGTAACCGTGGTTGGCTATGGAGGCGCCAAAGCAAAATTTCATGGAAGTCCTGAAAAGGGAACAATGAAGACTGCATTCTTGTCAGCCGAACGAGCTCACAGTGTGGTTACCTCAACTGTATGAAGGTGACAGGTCCACTTAAAGCAAACTGTTTAAAAGTTGTTTGTTTTTACCCCACTTGTGTACCGTAATTATGTTGCTCCCAATAACTTTAAGAGCTAGTTTAAATAAGGATGTCTATAATGTGCTCCATACAGTGCGGAATCTCTTGCTCTTCAATGTGCATTGGCTTGACTGAATTTTTTTTTTTTTTTAGTACCACTTTATTTTATTCATGTAAACTTAAAGGAGAAGTACACTTTAAAGCCCCTTTAAGCTGACCGTCCTGCTCCATGTGCACAGATGCATACTCCGGTGTTGGTTGACATCCTGTGGTAATGTCTCCTCCTGCTGCCCACAGTAAATTCCCACTGACTGCTATGGGGTTCATCTACCTTCAGCTGGGAGACGAGCCCCATAGAAGTCAATGGAGATTTACTACACATGTGTGGCCAGGGGAAATATCTTCTCCGCAGAACGTCAATACCTGAGGCCAGGTCCGTCAGAACTTGGTAAGCATGCATCTGTGCACAGGGAGGGAGCAGTGACGTCAGCTTTATGTGGCTGAAAAGATAAGTGTTTTAAAGTGCACTTACTCTTTAAAAGATAACCATAAGGCATAATGGTACATTGCAAGCTGTGTTATAAAGTGCACCTGTGTACTGACTATGGACATGTTTTAGATATTATTAACAAGCAGTAAAAGAGCTTAAAAACAAGCCATCCCTGATCACTCTGTCCTGTGACGTACTTCCTCCTCAAAGATCACACAGGATGTAAAGTCAGTTTTGGTTGGTTTCGAGCGGCTTACATTAGAAGGCAAGATCTTGCCGCCATAGAATATAAAAGGGGGAACGAGCTGTGATTTCAGCACCTCTATGATGAACTTCGAAGATGGATTTCTCCACGATGCGTATTGCTACAGGAGGTGAATAAAGGCTTGTTTAATGTGCATGGCCTGGGCACACAGAAGTATGCATGAAGAAATGCTTGTGTGTTCCCTACTATAAAAAACTTTCTGTAAGTCTTTGAACACTTAAGCCTAGAGGGCTCAATAGGTCAAATACCAACTGCTAGTCTAGAAATCAGGTTTGCCACAACCCCTCCAGTGCGAACCCCTCTCTTGGTTTGGTTATAGAAGCTCACAGTATTGCACTGAAGGAAGTGTGTTTAAGGGGTAGAAAAGTAGTCACCCGCACACCAAGGTCCAATATATTGATATGTCTGTATTTGATATCAGATATACATGGCATCACATGTGAAAGCAACTTTCAGAACCTACAGTGATCCCTTCATCAGGCAAAACATAGTGGCAATGTTTTGCCTGATGAAGGGACTACTGTAGGTTCCAAAACGTTGCTTTCACATGTGATACCATGTATATATGATGTCAAATAAAGACATATCAATATATTGGACCTTGGTGTGCGGGTGACTACCTGCTCTACATTTGGATTTGTGCGGTGCCATCCGCAGGTCATTCCAGCACCCATGTGAATACTTAATTTTGGTTAGGTCTGCAGTGTAATGGGCACAGTGCAATTGTGTGTGGAAGGGGGGTCCTCAGGCAGAACCTGCCAGCTTTCCCACCATTTTGTTTGTTTTTATAGTCTAGCCTAGACTTAAAAAGGATGCTGGTTTTGCCGACACAATCCCACAAGGCAAGCTGTCTGCAAGGTATTGCAGAGTACCCCATAAGCTTGAACGGTTTAAATGGACAAGAGGGGGGAAGGGGATTGTAGGGGGAGCTGAAGGGGGCTGAGAAGAAAAGGCAGACGCCAATTAACAAATGGTACATCATCAGAACATTTTCCTGACAGGTGCCTACAGAGAGGGCTGGTTAGCTACTAAGAACAGGATATTATTGTCTTATGGCAAAAAAACTCCTCGTCATCACACGTCTATGGGTACCTTAAAACTGACTTTCACTTCACTCAATCAGAAACTAAAAGAGCTTCCTCTTATTGCATGTCTTGGCCAGAAAGGAGTCTCTGTGCCCAATCTGAGATTACTTGCACTTTGCTATAGAGGCCTAAACTGGGGGCACAAGTTCCACCCACCTCCTGGTATCCCATTAAGAGTGCTTTGATAGACAGACTGGGCCCCCCCAAGTCAAGGCCTCCATGGCAAAGGGTAAGTAATCTCTGTTGTACCTGCTCTTTAGCAGCACCTTTAGTTTTAGAACAAGAGAAGAAATATTTACTAAAACAAAAACACACTTCAAAACAAATGTAGTTTAGTGCGGATGAAAAACGATGCCTCCAAGTGTCCTTGACCCATGCCATCACCACTTGGTCTTGCAAGGATTACGAAGGTTGTCAAAATACACCAGCTGGTACCCTCCACAATATAAAAATAAATGGAGACTGCAGCCACAAAGCCAAAGATGAGGCAACAGGCAAGGAATAAAAAATTTGAGATTGTCGTTAAACACCCAAATTAAAAAAATTAGCTGTGAGTGGACTTAAGAAAGTGGCTAGAAAAGAAAAGAATGTTTTGCATACATTACCGAATCAAACACGGTACATCTGTAATGAAAACTATTTTTGGTTAGGGAATGCTTAAAACAACTCAAGTTTATATTTTTGTGCGCCCTATTGGGGAGATTACCCTTCACGTCCTGACTCAAGACACAAAAGGAAGGAAGAGGATCTCTTCCCAAAGTAATGGAAATTCTCTTTTGGACAATTGCCGCCAGTAACAACGGTCATCAGGACAAATAAAGAGGGTGAACCTCCTCAGCAGGGACACCCTTGCTTATTCTAGCCAACGCGAGACAAAAAGGTTTAGGTTTTAGATACACTTTATATTTAGGCCTCATTCACACGAGAAAATGCCGCCACGTACAGCTCCGTGCACAGCCGTATCGGGCAGCTCCCGGAAAGAACAGGTGCTGCGTGTGATTAGCACGCAGCCCGTCCTCCTCTATGGGAGTACGAGGCCGGGACACCCGCACCCATATGGACCTGCACTTGGGGTGAGCCTTAGGACGGTGTACGACCACGTACTCCGATAGTGCAGGTCCGTACGGGTGTCCCGGCTCGGACGCAGACAGGATCCATCCCATCATTGTACGGGCACAGACACCCACAAGGACGTGCAGGGCGGGAAAGCGTAGGGCGGTGTATGGCCGCGTACTCCCACAGAGGACAGGGGCTGCGTACTAATCACACGAAGCACCCGTCCTTCCTGGGAGCCGCCCAATACGGCCGTGCACGCAGCACGGAGCTGTATGTGCCGGCCGTTTCTTGTGTGAATGAGGCCTTAGTGGTCAACAATGTTAAAAACACAAATATTAGCATATTCCCTAGTACAATAAAACATGGAAAAATGAATATTATCTCTCTCAAGATTAAAAAGAGAGACATTTTCAAATGATAACACAACAATTAAACAACTGCCACTGCTGTCGGCGTGCAAAAATAGTATTCTAGATCACACTACGTTCTGGATGCTTATCTTTACATCACAGTATACATGGCGCTTGTGATTTTAGCAAAAGAAAGGCACAATTATCAAGCAGTTTAATACAGTACCTGAATAGGGAAAAAAAAAAATGGTCTTAAAAGTTAAAAACTTTTTAAAAAAAATACAAGTATACATGAAGCTTCTCCTTAGCTGCAACTAGAATGAAAATGAATGGACCATTTGCCAGCTCTGCTTGGCCCAATTATATCGATACCTGCCCAGTGATGGATCGGAGACATGGGTTAGGATTATTACAAGCTTTTGTGTTTTCACCCCAATAAAGAAAGAAGTCATTAGGGGAGAAACGGGTCGTCTCAGAGCAACTTAATCCTTTCTTTAAAGGGTTTCATTTATGCCATTTGTGCTAGAAGGAAATCTGCCATTGTTAAAGCCCCAAACACGTAAACATGTAAGGGACAAAGAACATGACTGCAAATCCAACCGTCCCATAAGTAAGGTATCTGTACGGGAGCTCCACCTCCATTCGTTGCCTCGCCTTTCGGATATCATCACAAGGAATACCAAAGACTTTGCAAGCCAATGGGATGGTGACCATCTTCATGACCGACCGGATCGGTAACAGGACGATTAATCCAACAAAGACCCGTAACAAGGCCTTGCCAAGCAGGCTCACAGTGATAGGTGGAATAGTAAAAGGCAACGCAGTAGGCAAAGGTTCTGCCATGAGGCCCAGCATGTAACGGACGTAAGATCCGCAAGCGACACCAGCTCCGCTGCCGAGAACCTGCGCCGTGTCTCCTCGGGAGGTGCTCCACGTGTCAAGTGTAAAGGAGAAAATGCCCAGAGCCAGGTGCAGGCTGATGATGATGAAGGGGGAATATTTATAAGTAAGGTTGAAATTATCAATAAGGTCCAGAGCAGGTAGGAAGACTATTAAAATGATAATTGCATAAAGGACACCAGCGACGACATCCTGCGAAAACATAAAAAAGTATAACTTTGGCATTAAACATTGCTGAACAGTAAATCAAAACTTTAGGCAGATAAAAATAGACACCGAATTATTAAGGTATGTGCTAATAACACAATCACTAACAGGTCTATTCACAGAAGGGTAAAGAGTTTGGAGAAGGCAGGAGAAGTGAACAATCTAGGACAACATAGCAGAACTATGCAAGCAGTGAAACAAGCACTGCTATTGGGCCTTGATGCCTGGACCTGAGCACTACCAAGCAACCAATCAGATCACAGCTGTGAGATCAATGTGGTCAGATTGCTAATACAAGGATATGGGTTACTGCACTAATTTGCATTAGATTTGACTGCAGGCCCATAGTACCTAGAAGTCCGAAAAATAAATAAAAGTGAATGGATGCTGTGAGCATAGCATAAGAAATCATAACCCCCCTCCCTTTTCCCATTACTATGGGTCCTGTATTAGGATGACTATACAAAGCCTGATCATTTCTTGGGATGACAGTGAGAGGATGTCATCCCAAGAGAGAAAAAGCCGCGCCCTAAAAGATCCATGCTGCGTGCACGGCCATATCGGGCAGCTCCCAGGAAGGACAGGTGCTGCGTGTGATTAGTACACAGCTCCTGTCCTTCTCTATGGGAGTACGCGACCGTACGCCACCCTACGCTCACCCCAAGTGCAGGTCCGTACGGGTGTCCCGGCTCGGACGCAGACAGGATCCATCCCATCAGTGTACGGACACAGACACCCGCACCTGTAAGGACGTGCAGGGCGGGAAAGCGTAGGGCGGCGTACTCCCACAGAGGACAGGGGCTGCGTACTAAATCACACACAGCACCTGTCCTTCCCGGGAGCCGCCCAATACGGCCGTGCACGCAGCACGGAGCTGTACGTGCCGGCTTTTTCTCGTGTGAATGAGGCCTTAGTATATTGGATGGTGGTAATGTGGTAAGGTTGGCAGGGTAGTGAAGACATTCAAGCAGGTGCCGAGCTTGCCCACACCTGCATTACAACAATATGATTGGTAGTGAAGTGAAAGTCAAAGGATTTGGGCTTACCAAAATGGAATGCATTCCCATATAAACACGACTAAGGCACACCAAGGAACACCAGCTGGCAGCGAGCAGCAGCCCATAAACGAATGGATACTGGAGAGGAGAAAAATAACATGTCAATATAAAGGGAACATTTCAACACAGAAAAGCTTTGTAGATAAAGCTAAACCTACAATTCCACGTCTACACAAGCATTACATCGGGAGACTAGCAGTGATGAGAAAAAAAACACCTACACAGGCAACAAAGGTCAGGTTTCCTGAGTAAGTTCATCTGAAGAACAGGGGCCATATATTAATGTCTGGACACAACTCTTACCCAAGACTGACACATTTCTGTAACAGGTCAGCTGGGGGAAACAAAATGTAGAAATACTGGTGCAAGTTGTGTGAGAACATTTATAAATAGACCCCCGTAGTGTTTTCTGAACATTTTATTTATTTATGATGCAAGAAGGTTTTGTAAAACGCAGGCAGGGGCAATAACAAAAAGGTATAAAAACTTATAAATATTCCTAAAAACTATTTACTTTTCTTTCAAGAGGAAATAACACAATATACAATGTCACAACAGCAGCACACTATCCAATGTCACATGCCAAAAATACAAATTTCCTCTATTCCTTTTAGGCTCTATTCACATATAGTTTGCTGCACAGATTCCGCTCGCTTGCGGTAATATATATATACATTTGATTTAATTTTTTTTTATACACACACCCGAGATAATCTTGGCTGTGTGCACATATCAGCCCCTGCCGCTCCTCAAACAGATTTACACGACTGAGCCAGAATCTTAGTACACAAGAAAATGGCAACAATGAATGACGCCTAACAAAGATGGTGCTGGTCTTCTGAAATCATCAGCGGCTCCTCTCTTATACAACATCCTGCTGTTGAATTTGGAGTTGTAGAATCTGTTCAGAAAACAGCGATGATTGAAAACCATTTGAGCTGCCGGGACCGTTGTACTCTACAATTATTTGGAGAACTGCCAAATACGAGAGATTACATTGCATCTGCCAAGAACAGTGCCATGTTGCCATGCCACCTAGTTGGTCATTCTACAGCAAGATGATGACCCAAAACATGAATGGTGCCGTAGCCACGCCCTCTGGCCGCAATGCGATCCGCCGCACAGACATTAAACTGCGTAAATTTCAATTAAAAAAATGGGAAAAATGGAGGTGTTCTAAAACCTTTAACCCTTAGTGAATACCAAGTCTGTACTAGCTGGCAAAGCTCATTGTAGAAGTTTTCCCCGATGCCTGCGTGGGTTTCCTCCGACACTCTAAAAGCTGCTGGAAGGATAATTGGCTCTTGTCTAAACTGGCCATGGCATGTGTATGCATGCAAGTGAGATAGGGATCTTAGATTGCAAGCTTCTTGAGGGCAGGGCGTGACATGTACACTATGTAAAGTACTGCATAGATTGTTGGCACCATATAAATACCGGTAATAAATAGTCATGATTTAAGGATGAGCTCCCAGCAAACAGTCACAGCTGAGATACACACTCAGTAGCTATTAGGAGATATGGCCACCTAAACCTCAGATTTACACAGTCCTGCCAGACAGCAGAGCCAACACAGTGACCAGACCTCTTTGTACAGCAGTTAAACTTTACACTTCAGTCACTTTCTTGCCCCCAGACCGTGAACTGGACAGAGAAGAACAACAGCAGACTCATGTGTTCCTTTCTCTGCTCCTTCCTGCCGTTAGCAGGATCCTTATTAGCACATCTGATAGCCCCCTGCCTCTACCCCTCTCTCTCCCAGTCTCAAGCTGTCCGTACACATTTACTTTTTTTCTCATTCAACCTGGTGGCTGAGCGAGAGAAAACCACTTGATTCCTCCAACCACACTAAGGCCTGGTTCAGACCTGGGCGTTGTGTAGCACGTTTGAACGCTCTGCAAAACGCTTAAACACCGAAATCCCATTATTTCCTATGGGTATGGTTCACACCTGGGCATATTACAGGCCGTATGAACGCGCTACAATACGCCCTATGCCCAAAGAATTACAGGAGCTTCTTTGGGGCGTTTTTGTTACGTGTTTCCATTGGGATACAGCCAAGTAGCCCTCGGAAACGCGCGTTTGTCAGGCGGTTTTTTTACCGCGAATCGCGATAAAAACGTGCGTCTCGAAACGCGCAACAAACGTGCATATTCGATACGTCTAGGTGTGAACCCAGCCTAAGGGTTAGTTCACACCAAGTGCAGAGCAGATACAGAACGCATCAAAAAAGCATCTTATGCTATTTTGGGCTCTAGTTCACACCACAGTGTTCAGTTCAGACAGTGCATGTGGAAAAACTTCAGCATGCACAATTTTTCTGCTCTTGAACGCACCAAAATGCATGCAAATGCATCAAAAACACATGAAAACACCCTGGAACGCACTGAAAGCCCATTATAGGCACACACAAAAACAGACTGGAACGCGTCAAAACACACTGCACTGCTCATGCAGAAACTCATGCTGATCTGGTCCGGCTTTGGGGTGAACAAGCCCTAAAAAAATGCGAAGAGAGGAATCTCCTTCTGCTGGATATCGTACTCAAAGAACGTGTGAAGATTGACAGCGCCACAAATAATTGGTCGCGTCTATTAGTCTTAACAAAAGGTTAATAAATAATATTGGCTAACTAATGACAACTCAACATCTGAACAATGCATCATCATCATTGCTTGCTGGAAGCAATGCATGATGGGATATGGAGACTTGAGAAATGGAGATTGCGTCACATCCAGCAGCAGGGAAAGAGACGCAAAGCACACTGGGAACCCAGGAAGTTGGTGAAAGTGATGGGCAAATGGAAGGCAGCACTCACTACATAAAAGGGACTTTTTCAGGTAACCTTTCATTGCATTACCAAAATCAACTCTTTTATGTGTTCCTATGACAATGCTGATGACATAACAGGATAGAATATGACGGGTCTTTAGAATCGCAGGCTAACTGAAATGTCAGGTTTTCTTTATGTTTCCCAAACACTATAATTGAGGCAACAACTCACATTTACACAACAAAGAGACAGCTTTGTTCTGTCACGCACGTCCTCTGCAAGTATGCCAAAACCAATCATCCATTATTGGCACTGATTAGCCAGGTTACAGCATTACTCACAAACCAGGAGTCAGTTCCAGGAAACCTGGAGAAATGGGCCAGAAATATGAATCACAATACTATACCTAAAAAACGTTTATAGTTTCCAGAGATTAAAAGAACAGAAGATACTGAAAATGCCGCATACAGAGAAGCAAAATCTCTGAAACATGGAACTGACCTATCCAGGAAACAAGTAGCGGCTGCCATGTTCCTGCATCCTTCTGCAGTAGAAGTAGTAAAGCTCTTCTCTTGCATGGAACGTTGACCTCAATCGGGAAGGATCTTTATTATTAATTATTATGGATGCAAGTACTTGGAATAAAGTATCGGTACTCGTACGCGGCCTTAAAAAAGTGGTATCGGTGCATCCCTATTAATTATACAGGATTTCTATAGCGCCAACAGTTTGCACAGCGCTGTACAATATAAGGAAGACATTACAGTTACAATACAAGTCAAGACAAAATGGTAAGTGGGGACCTGCCCATGAGAGCTGACAATCTAAAAGGGAGGGGCAAGTGAAACATGAGGTGGTAGCAGTGTGGGGATGAATTGTATGAGAAAGTGATAGTTCAGTGGATAGGTTGAGGCGGAATAGGCTTCCCTGAAGAGATGAGCCTTGGGATTCAGGGAAGCAGGGATTGGCAGAGGGGGGCTGCAGACACTGAGCGGTTGTATTAGTAGCTCTGCCACTTGGTTAGGTGGATCCATAACAACTAAAACCATTATAGATCTAAAATACTTGCTTATATTTTTCAAGCAACATGATCAATATATGGGGGGAATTTATCATAGCAATTGCGTGTGTATTAAATTGCACTGAATATATTTGATGCGCTTTGCACCAGATTTATAATGCTAGTGTAATGTTGTTCATAAATTAGGTTTAATAGACTCCAGGAAAGAAGACTCAACTCCAGGCACAAAGCCTAACTATCGCTTCTTGAAGAAGTGGTCATGGGGACTTCTTAAGTTGCGATTGTTTTCTTAGGTGATGTTGTGCGGCTGTCTGAAACTGGAGCAAGTGTAGATGAAAACACGTGCAAAAAAACATGCAATTGAAAAAGTAGTACAAGCTCAGATCATAACAGGGGAACATGTTAAAAAGACAGATTTGCACATTAAAAAAAAAAAAAAGGATCTAAGAGGCTAAAGCTGTTGCAATTGCTTTGATAAATTCCCCCCCAATTTGTCTCCCCACCCCCATTTCTCCCTGAATTATCTACAACTACTTCATTACACTGGATGGATATCACACAGTGTACTCCAATCAACTATTATCTCAGCGAGCTGCGGAAACTCTTGGTTCCCCATAAATAAGTAATGTGAAACATGCAACTACAGCAATTTCCTCCCAGCCAGTGTCAAGGCGAGGAACCACATTGTGCAGCAGATGGGAGAGGTGCACAGCTCAGTCACAGAAAAGGAAAACCACACACATATGTTGAAGAATAAGGAACCGGAGAAAAAGGGCTTATAACGCCTTCAGGTCTCATGAGTAAAGACCACTTTGGTCCTCTAAGGATCGTGTACAAAAAAAGTCATAGCCCTCCAGCTCCTGTCATCCTAAAACGTGTTGAAAGCACAGACCTCAGACTCCGGCATTGTTTGAGTCTACAGCTGAGCTTTGAAATGGTATGTATGCTCCAGATCCAGCCATGGAGGATGAAGGTCATCTTCAGTGTATGGGCTGAGTTTGAGACGGCACTTATCTGTGGCTTGCCTGGTGCATGTATAAACATGTGAAAGTATGATTTAGAACATACTGCACCTGGAAAGAGTAGTCCAAATCTAAGGTTTGGCATCTCTCAATGGGCTCTTGGGAGACTTGGTGGTTGGAGGCCAAATGGATACCCCCCCTTTTCATAGACATTCTAACCTCTCTCCCTCAAGCATTCATCTTCCAACCAAAGGCTAAAGATGGAGACCACCAATGGCCTTCATTCTTACTGCTCCCTTCTCTACTCTTTTTCCTAAAACCA